ACACGGGGGGGGGGGGGGGGGGGGGCGTACTTGGAATCACCAACATCCCCACGTCCAGCCCCGTGTGGATTTGCTCCGCAGAGCTGCTGATAGTCGAGCCGGCAAGTAAGATAAAGCAGGTGCGGCGTGCGTCTATCAGCTTTCAGCCGTTGGGGCACAATGTGAATCATATTGGGCCTCACTGGCTTGGGCTCACTTGGCCTGTCGCAAAGTTAGGGGAGTATACATGAAACGATGACTGGAGCACTGTACAGAACCACCACAAGCTTAGGACATTGATCCGCTGGCTGTCCTCCTGTGCATCCAGATGGAGATAGCTTAGCTTACGACGCCAAATATAGCCTTCTGAAGCAATTAACAACAAGTCTTATTTTCTGCATGTTTGGGACTGTGATATATATCTCAGTTGGCATTTAGAATTCAGTGGGCGAACTCACGGAATGATTGGGAACGCTTCTCGTTCTGATTGGGGCGGACTTTGCGGCAGTTTAAGAGCTAAGAGCGTGTACATGAGAAATTGATCAATTTGATTATGACGCACCAATTTCCTGGAAAAGACTTTTTACATTTGTAGCACTCTTAGCCGAAGTTGTGAACGTACTTGAGACGCTCTATGTAATCAATGTTACCTGAAATTCAACTTTTCGTTTGTTTGGAAGATCTGCTTTATTGCCTGCAAGAGCAATGACGACGTTTGGATCGCCGCGCCTCTGCAGCTCCTTCACCCAAGACTTAGCACCATTGAAGGATTCTTTATTCGTAATATCATAGACTACAATCGCGGCTGCGGCACCTCGATAGTACATAGGAGCAAGGCTTCGATAGCGTTCTAAGCAGAGGATCCGCATGAAGACTCGTCTAAATTGAGATCTTACCTTGACCAGCGGTGTCCCAGATTTCAAACTTGACGGTGGCGCCCTCGAGAGAAACAGATTGCGTTAAGAAAGCCGCTGAGTAAACACGTTGTTTGAACTTGCGAAGGAGAAGAACAGTACCTCCAATTGTTGGCTCCTGGAACTCGAAAAACTCATCGCGAACAAAACGAACGACAAGGCAAGATTTTCCCACGGCTGTGTCGCCGAGGAGAACAAGTTTGAAGTGGCATACGCGACTCGTCATGTGCCCAACTCTTGGTAGGGGGGGACACTGAAAATCGACAGATTGCAGATCGTCGAATTTGGCGGCGCCGCCCGGTGCGATGGATAGAGGGCATCTAACTGATAATCAAAGCGCCTGGGTTCGTGGAAATCGAACCGGATTTCGTGAAGTTGTGGCTTCGCGAAGCCTCGGTTTTTTTCCTATGGGGATTCGTCAACCCATATTTTCGAGGCTGGAAAATGTTGAAAATCGCGCCGTGTACACCCGCGTTTTCTTTTGTATGTTGCGTGAGGCCCGACCTCACGTCGATCGAGCCAAAAATCTTGGGTGTACACGGCCGGGAAGTCGACCTACGCGTCTCAGGCGTTTCAGCCTGAGAGACCCCAGGCGGAATTTGAGGTAACTATCTTCTGTCCGAGCTTCATTGTCCGCCCCTACTCTCGGGAGTCCCCGCCCACGACTGCGAAGCTCTAGCTCGCCGCGTCGTGGGTCCCGTGGGACTAGCCTGGGACGAGTCCGCGGGGCGCGTGTCTCTAGCAGGCCACTGTGAAGGGTAAGTTGAAGGATAGTCAGGAAATAATCCGGCCTCGAGTACTCTCAAACGCAGCCTGCTGTCGTCCGACGCTCCGCGATGACGCGCATCTGCGGGCGATCTCCGGTTTCGTGATCGTGTTCTGCCAGCATTCTACCCCAGCGCCTCCAATTAGACTTCTTGACTTAAGTACCTTGCTCTTCGTTCTGTACTCCCTACTCCCCTGTACTCCCAAAAGTATAGTCCGCATTTCTACGGGGCATACTGTACTCCGGGTTACTCCATTCGAGGCACCAGGAGGAGCCGGGTTTCGCTCTTGGCCACACCCGGGCACCCCTGCGTTCTGGTAGTTTTCCGAATACACCAGCCTCACGCAAAACGCGGCTAAAATTTACCACAAAAAATCTCGGTCTGGCGAGTGAGAAGTTCTTTTGCGATGCACAGGCCACTCCCATCGATTACGGGCGTAAATTCGGCGAGTCTGTGGGTACACGCCGCATCGCAACGGCAGACTTCGCCATGAACACGAGATTTAGCACGCACTGCCTGAGCATCGAGGGCCCTGAGCTCACTGAAGTAGTGACTTTCAGCGCGAGACAGGCGTGGGCGTAGTTCTGTAGCAACAGCCACAAGCATAGCAGCACGACTGCGCAGCTTCTTTTGGCGGGTGAGAGCCGAAGTGGCAGCATGCTTCATGCCGGTGCACGCGTGACCCGTTGCCTAAGGGGACAAGGCTAGGAAATGTGGGTCAAATCAGAAGGAGTGCGCCCAGCCCATACCCCCTGCGAAATACCGTTTTGCGTGCTCATACCTTCAGCAAGTGACTAACGAAGTCAAGCTGGTGTTTTTGTGTTCCACTAACCAATTCCAGAGCCTGAGCTAGAGCAGTGGATATGTTTGTACAGTGGTGGACCTTGAGGACTGTGTTTGTCTCCAAAGTCAATGTGATCAAAGTGAGTTCGTTCTGTAGACTATCGAGGCTTTTTTGTTTGCCAAGAACTTGTGCTGGGAGACGGCCCATAATCATACGAGCATGGCTGAATATTCTAAAGAGCTCCTCGGTAAGCTGTTGCAAGTTTTGAGCACTGCTTTGTTGGATAGCGGCGCGAAGCTCCGTAGGCGCATAGCGGCTGCTCGACAAATCCATAGCGCAACAAGAACCGTCGTTAAACCAGCCTGAGCAGGGAAGGGAGAGGCACTTAGATGAGTGAAAGACGATTCAACATCTGATTCGACACAGCTCGGATGCAGAGAAGGGAAGATGAGCCAACTGCGGAATTCTGAAGAAGGCCTGCACCAACGACAGTGCGGAGCGAGTCGGAGGAAAAAATCACATGTTGGCAAGTACTTGGGTGCCTGGAGATAAGTGATTCTAGCTTGGCGCCCACTAGATCCTTCAGGAATGGAACCCACGGCAGGTTGATTATGGCGATTCCAGTCTCGTGGATAAAGTACAGTTCCTCCCGCATAAGCTGAAGGCGCAGGTTTTGTTTATGTGCTAAATCTGTAATGAAAAGAGACTCAACGTGGAGCAAACCGAGTGCGCCTTGGCGAGATACCGGATGCGGCGTTGGTGAGGACGCTGCAGAGCATGAAACAAAGACATCAACATGGCCTCCAAGAGTCGCGATGACAATAACAGCAAGCAACCCGTCGTCGCGCACGCAGACTTGGGTAGGGGTACCCCCTCGCAATTCGAGTGTCGCAGATCTACTGCAGATTGATCTTTTGTTGAGTTGCTGTATATCAGTCTTGATCCAAGAGATATTTCTGCTACCTCCCACGGGGTAATTGCATATTTCCTTTTCGCAGGCGCCCTGCATATTTCCAACCGCGCAAGTCTGACTTGGTGAACATCGTCGCGGCATGACAAGGGATGCTGCAACAAGCTGATTCTCTGTGACAATAAATAAACCTAATTGCCCCAACCTGTGCCATGATTTAGAGCCCAAGACTCGTGTGAATACGTGAATGACTCTGTGCGTTGCCGTTCAGCGCCGAAACAAAACGCTTTAGCGTCATAAATCTTTGTTGCGAATGTTGTTGTTACACCGCTAGCAATGCTCCAGAAATGAAGGACGCCGGCAGCGTCAAGAGCAGAGATGTGATCATCAACATGCAGTGGAAAAGTTGCATCCACTAACATGGGGCGGCTGTCATCATCCACAAAAACCGAGGCATCCCAATTCAGATTGTCAAATGCACCATCACGTCCGCGTGGCGGTGGCAAGACCTAGATTGGTGTCAGATTTTTGCATCTGAATACATGTGATGGCCCAGGTTTGTGCCACGCATAAAAAGTGGGCGCCAGCAATGAGCACCGCATCTGCGGGTGAGTTAAATCGGACGGAATTCAGTGTGACGGAGTCTAGCATCCCAGGTGGGGTGCGCACATGTTGTAGTTTATCATGATCATGAGCATAAAGAAACGAATTTTCACATGTGACCACTAACAAGTCGCCAAAGTCAGACGTTGCGACCAAGAATGGCGTCAGCGGCGCCTGAGCCTGAGCCACCGACTCGAATCGGAACGCAACCATCTCCCCGATCCAAGGTCGTGCTGATACATGTAGCGAACGTATGAAGGGTTACTAGTAGTTTTCGACCCTAGGCCTATAGGGGTCCTGGACTCAAAATGCGGCTATTTGCCGCCCACAAACCCGATTTTGTGGGTGAAAAGAGCCAAAGGACACCCCGCCGAGGCCCTCGAGACGAGGCAGGGCCGTGGCCACGGAAGTGCAACTCGAAATTTGACCTACGTTGAGGTCAACTTGAACTTGGGTTGCAGTTCAACATAGCACCGAACTGCCTTCAGACGGCGGCAAGGGGTGTCCAGTGTGCACCGCCCTTGTGCCTCTTGACTATCCGGCGCCAGAACGCGGCGTTGTGGGGCTTAGGCGAGTCAGAAAGGCAATTTTGAGGTGGCTGCTCCAGACTTCAGTGTAGCGGGGATTGTCCCTTCAAGGTATACTTCTCCTATTAGCTTGAGGTTCACAATGCAGTGGATATATGCCAGCTTAGTTGCTCACTTGTATCTTTTGTACGAGGATACGCGAAAGCGGTATCCTCTCTTTTCTTTCTCTTGCACACTTTTAGTGACCGAGGAGCCTGGCGACTAAGGACCCAGATCCCATGCAGATAGATCGGCAAAGAAACAAAGTAGCCAAGGCACATGACGTGCCTAGGAAGTCATATGTTCCGGACCCAAGTGATTATCCGGATACAGAGGACAACCCACCGGGCAGCGACGATTTCTATCGAGGTGAGGGGCCCCTCCGCATCCGAGTCTATCGAGGGGAGGGGCCCCTACGGAACTTTGCGTCTGGAAGTCCGGCGTCGGCGTCCGGCCGCGCCCGGACTCGCATCCGGCGCTGGAACTAGGGCAGTTGGGTGGGCCCTTAGAGGCTCACTCAATTCACCATTTATGCCAATCACTATCTTGTTTGACTAGAAAGCTACTTTACAACGAATGACGTATACGTATATCTCAAAAGACACTGCGGATACGGTCGTCGATTCGCTGACACTCGGGTAGCTCATCGTGATTGGGTTGGATTCTCGCGCCGTCGGAAAACGAAGACCGGGCGCTCATATACGTAGCCTTTTTTAATACCCGAGACGGCGTCGATTCGATGACACCCCGAGAGACCCCCGAAGCAGAGGGCAACCTATTGCTGGGAGCGCCCACGGCCGGTTTGGATCGTGCCGTCGGAGAACGAAGACTAGGCGCCCATATACGTATTTTCTGTTCTTTACTGTTGTTGGTATGTTCCGTGGCGCTTCTCCTAAACGGAGGGGAAGGCTCACTGAGTTTCATCTCGTTGCACGCTCGTGCACACGGTAGCACCGCCACCTTACCAGCAGGTTCAATTCCAAACTTGGAATCTGCGATTGTGGACTCATCGTCCCCACTCTCATACTCGTAAACTGCCAGAGTCAGGAAGTACGAGCCCGGCTGTGCCACCTCAGTTGCCTGCCTCATACAGGTACGGGGAAACTTTCGACTTCATCGGAGGCGATGAGGGCGACGACATCCCTCCATTCACAGGAAAGACGAAAACTGGTAGCCACAGGTCACGAACGCGCGCACCATCACAAATAGGCGACGGTGGTGAGTTGGAAGCGATGATGCTATCTTACTCGTATGACTACTCCTATGAGCACGCAGACACAGCACTTGTTGAGGTAGCTCTCGTGGAATCATCTCTTGTACTGGAGAACGTCTCCATGGACAAGCTGGGTAACACAGAAACAGTATTGTTTGGGGAAACAGTTTCAGCCATGCTATCCCATTTCAATTTGTATTCAACTGAGTGCTACACGGTCATATCGACGATCAGCGGTCCGCGTGTCAAGATGACATTCACTGTGGAAATTGTCGTGCACCACGATAATGCAGACCCAGCGACAGATGACTGGCGCGGGATTCTCAGTGAGCAGGTCCAAGCAACCTTGACCAAAGCCCTTACCGCCGGTGAGTTTTCTGCGACATTTGCTGCTGCTGCTGAGGAGTCATCATCGACCTACTTCGCGGATTTTGGGACACGGGACTTGTACAATATCATTGATATTGATTCCTCAGCTGCTTCTATCGCTGCAAACACAAGGATTATCCGTTATTCTGGAAAGGAGCTCCTCGTACCAACGAGCCCACCGTCACCTTCATCCACCCTGGAGGTGGTTTCGACAGCGATGCGCTATGATGCCTCCTTGGACGTGCAAACCTCGGGTTACTCCACCGTCTCTGGGCCCTCGCTTTACCCGTGGGATTACATTGTTGAGCCACACAAGACGACAACCATCCGGTTTCGCGACGCATGTGATGGAGACGGACATCTCTTGGACAATACACGCACGCCAGTTTGGAGTGTCACCTTCCAAGGAACAGACACTCGACGTGTGAATCGAGGCGCAGGCGGCAATGCGAGTCCCGCACGTGCACAGCACCGTATGCTCAGTGATCTAGCCCCTGAAATTGCGCCACAGGTCCTGATATCACGGTCTGAGCGCGGCTGTGATGTCGACCTCAACTTTACACATGTCTCACAGATCTACGATCTCACCATCGAGCTGCCAAACTCCCGGCAAGTTGCCGTCGACACTCTTACTGACGTAGACACATACGTAGCTACTTTGATGTGTAAATACGTACGTCGGGAGATGCGAGCGGTGACATCCGATGACAAGAATCGCTACCTTGAGGCAATGCGCATTGTGTCCACAACGCCCCTCGACGAGGGCCGCCGCCGCTTTGGAAGCAAGTTTGCGAATCTGGAATATTTTGCAGTCAAACACATTCACACTGAGGAGTGTTCTCCGTTTCACGGAGGCCTCAGTTTCATCACATCCCATGCCGCTTTCACCTTGGAGCTCGAGCAGGCACTGCAGTCCGTGGACGCCAGAGTAACACAGCCATACTGGGATTACACTCTTGATGCAGCTTTACTTGGCACCGATTGGGATTCTGCCGCCGTCTTCTCCAATGACTGGTTCGGCTCAGCTCATCCAGGCGGTCCAGACAACACCGTGGCCTCGACTTTCTTCCAGGAAGTCCCTGTGCCCACTAATTTCTCAAGGCCAGTGCGAAATTCTTATGGCCGTGTTACCTCTACGATCAATAACGATCCTTCACATTTTGTCACGCGTGCTCATACATTCTGTGGCCTCCCTATCACGATGCCCCTCCCCGGTTGTCCCGAAATGATCGGATGTCTCAAAGCCGAGAATCTTCCAGATCTACACAAGTGTATGGAAGACGAGCTGCATGGCGACCTGCATGCCATCCTTGGTGGTTCCTGGGACTGCGCCTACGAAATAGCTGAAGTTGTGAGCCTCAGCGCAAATCATTCGGACCTGATGCTCACACAAGATCTCGCCAATACCTACGTATCCGAATACCAGAAGCTTCTCGGCGAGATTGGCTGCAAGGCTAAGCCTATCTGGAACAAAATGTGGAACAAAAAATTCATGAAGTGTCCTCTTTACTGTAGCGAAGACACTGCCTTTTCAAACTGCTCATGTTCCTGTCCAAGTCTTGATCATGTTGAGATCAGTGTCAATTAACTTTGTGGTCCCCTATAGAGCGAGTGTTAGAGACCGGCGTTGCAGGTTGCGAAGCTGTCGCCGGAAGAGAAATGGGGAATTCTCGAGGATGTAGGAGCGTCAGGCTACATCCACAAACTTTTTACAGAAGTAGAGACAAAGCAGCCAGGCACGACCAAATACTTTTGGGAGGTGACCATTGGCCATCAAGGGCTTGATCGTTTCCTTGGCTGGTACCTCAAATTTGCATGCCATGCGGGTAAGCTAGGGGCGATGGTCACCTACAGTGCAATATATTTTTGTGTAGTCGCATGCGTGTTGAGGTGTTCTCTGTGCGCATGCGTAGGCAACGGGCGCATCCGCAAATGATCCCCTCTTCTGGCCTCTCCATCCTATTTTTGACCGACTTTGGGCGTACATGCGCCTTTCAGATAAATTCGACGGTTTCAACCACACATGGGTTAATACCAACTCATGCTACGGGCACGACCATCACGACATTCTTCCGTTCTCGGATCTTTTCAACGAAGGCACAGGTCACTTTTATTCAAATCAAGAACTATATCAGGCGTTTGACCCAAGGAGCCCAGTCCTTCCCTACGTTTACGATACGTTCAATTCCGAGCATTTTTGGTGTTTATCTCGATCTATTTTTAGGTCCCCTTTGATTTCCCCGGCATTGTCATAGGTTTGTGTGGGACCACTGTGCCGGTAACGATGCCTCAGATACAGCCAAGAGTTAGTCATGCTGATTGCGGGACCCTGATAGTCTGCCGGCCGCATCCAGCTCCGACGTGCGCCTCCCTGCCCCATGCCCACGCCCTACATAGACTGCATAGCCAGGCTAGCTTCACGCTGGTAGTCTGACCGCCGCATCCAGCTGCATGTGTGGTTTTTGCAGGCCGATACGGTCCTTGTGGCACCGCGGTCTTCTATCTCTGTGGTGCACAAGACCTAAACGAGGGGGGTCATTGAAACCGGGCGCTCTCCGGGCTCCGCTCCGGATCCGCTGGCGCCTAGTTTTGGCCGCCGAGTCCCCCAAAACTCGCCCCGGGCGGAATGGGCCGCAGTGCCCTGCACTTCACGGTTTCCTCATCAGGCATCCGAGTCCCAGATTGCGAAGGTGTTACGCCTGACTTTAACTCTTCCTCTAAGGCCAGTCTTTCTAGCCGCTCGGCTTGTTGTGCTCGAGCTTGGCAGAGGAAAAGGCAGATCTGGCAAGACAAGACAGCGTTTCATACCTGGAGCGAATGCTCCTAGTCTTTACTACGACAGAGTAATGACTGCGGATAAGCAACGAAAAGCAGACCATAATGCATTCTCAAGAGACGGGCCTGTGGAGGAATTGCTATAGCTTAGTGGCTCGCTGCTCTCCTAGTTATTGGCTATTTCTTATGGATATTGTACCTTGGTATCTCCCTACTTTTCTTCTTCTCTTGTTGGTAACCTAGCTAGTTCCCTAGCGAATTCCCTTGACAGGCCGGGCAACTTGAAAAGAAACACTCAGGCTGGCAGCGACTACTATTCCTGTTGAGAGGGAGAGAGAGGGAGAGACAGAGTCAGAAGAGAACTAAAAGGCCCTCTAAGGCCTGGAAGTGCCCCACCTCCCACAACAAGAGGCACTGGTTCTGCTACTCGCGAGGAGCTTATAGCCGCCATCATGATACGCAAGCTCAAGGAGGCCTGGGCAGCCCCACTAGGCTGCCCCCCTGCCCCTGAGTTTACTATCGCGCTAGTACTTACTGGCTTTTACGCCATGCCGCTCCGAAAAGACCTGCGTTTGTCTCACAGCCGGGCTAGAGGCACGCTTCTGTTTCTTGGGGAAAGCATTCCGCACCATACCCTCCTCGAGTTAGTAGGTGCCAAGGGAGAAAAGCCTGACTAGGGTAAGTATTGTATTAATGTGAAGGTAGTAGGATAGTAGCCGAGTAGCGTACTGTACTGTAGTATAGTCATTGGGAAACAAAGAGAGGGAGAGATTTGCAGTAAGGCAAGTCTGCATTCTTTGCAATAACAGCGACGGTGACGTTAACCAAGGTAAATAACTTTCCGGGCTCTCTACAGCCACCGAGGAGTCCCCGGTCACTAGCTAACATGCACAAGAAAGAAGAAGGAGGATGCCATGTCCTCGTATATCAAGCTAATAAACAAGCCCGATATAACCACTGGACTCGAGTATACATTCAAGCGAGCCTCATGTGCACATTCAAGCGAAAATCAAACTATGGGCGGCTCACTGGGCGCACCCTTAGAGTGTGTTGTTCTCCTAGTTTGCGAAGCCATCAATTCTTGGAAGGTCATCGCAGCGTGTCTGGACCTTGCGGTCAGCTCAATGCACTTTATGGGGCTAAAACAATGCCGCCATGGCCTTTGTTACACGCGGAGTGCCTCTTGGTCTTTGTTTTGTAAGCTAGGATATAATGATGTCTCCAGGAGGCTGATGATCTATGACTTTACCCCAAATCGCCTCGAAGCCAGCTTCGAGATGTTTGAGTGTAGCCTTGCAGTCATATAATGGTGCGTATACTGGTCCTCTGCGAGCATGCTCGAGCTTTTGACGGAAGAGCCAGTACTTGTCAGCATCGAGAGCGAGAGAAACAGCGAGGTCCTCGTATTCATCAAGGGTTGAAGTAACAAGATCTGGACACCCGACCGCCGTGCACAAACTAGCTGAGGCGCGTGTGGCAATGGAGTTTCCGAGGAGGGTGATCACTGGTGTGCCAGTCCATAAAGCGTCCATTGTAGCATCAAAGGCATTACAAGCAGGAGTGTCTAGGAGAAGGTCAGCAAGGACACCACGAAGAATGTGTTCGCGTTTGGGAGCAGAGTCCATAAAGATCAGACGCTGTTCGTGAACTTGAAGATCACGTGCCGCCTTCTTCAAATGAACCACGGCGCTTTCTGGACTCTTTATCAACAAGAGTATGGAGTTTGGAACACGCTTGAGAATGCTCATCCATACCCCGTAAGCTATAGGGTCCACCTTGTTGAGTTGCCCAAAATACGCGAAAATAAATGCATCCTCAGGAAGACCGTACTTTGAACGGCCTGGCCGGGCGCCTGGATTCTCAAAAAGGTCATCATATTCCAGAGCGTGACAGTTAAGTATACATGAATTGGGTAGGATGAGCGCACACTCGTCGATATCGTGTGATGTCCCAGCTTTTCTCGCTGGCTCAAGGGGACCAAGAACAATGCGGTCCAGGACAAGATAATCAATATAATCTGCACCAAAAGTTCCAGGGAAACCAAGGATGAAGCCGACTTGAATGGGTGCGGGGCGTAATGCAAGAATTTCGTTGCGTGCATTTGCGGTGTGACCATCGAGGTGCGCGAGGATATGGACACCATCAGCATGAATCAGTCTTGCGGCGTCGCTAGAAGAGAACGAGCTGAGATCTTTGATGGAACCCTCGACACCATGCTCGAGGTTCGAACGCAATGAGCTTCCATCTGATGGAGTCAGCGAGTAGCAAGTAACGAAGAAGCGTGATCTGTCGTGATACTTCAGGAGAGGTCCTAGGAGATGACCGATTGCGTGATTACCAAAATTTGCGCTAAGGTAGCCAATGTGAAGACGGCTCTTCTCACGTCCACTGGTAGCTGAAGATGAAGCATGGTGATGGTGGTGGAAGTGACCGCATGTTGACAGCGCGAGATTGGCCCGTGCACGCGCGGCATACCGCCTTGCAATACGCTGTGCATCTCTTGGTGCAACTATTGTTGTCAACGAAAGAGCATCTAAGGGCTGGACACACGGCAGATGTCCATGGAATACCGGTGACATGCACGAAACTAAACGAAAGGAGCCAGAGTCTTCACAGCCTGGTTGTGCGTCATCCAACGTTGAGGTCATGCTTTTTCCGTTGTCAAGAAGAGAATCATCATAACCATCTGCCACTAATTGTGCCTCAAGGAGTGAGGCAAGACATTGAAGATGATGAGCGCGTGAGGTCCAGTCGCACACGAAGTCTTTTGCTTGCAATAATCCAGCGAAGGCGTCGGGAAAGTGTGGTCTGAGAGCAAGCGCTCGCTCGTAACACATAATTGCGTCTTCATAATTTCCTCCGTCACCATGAACCTACGCTGCAGGCATGACGGCACGTCGGTTGGCATAGCCTAAATAAGAAGCACTGAAGCACGACTGCTGCCAGCGCTGCGTGAGCTTCTGCGAGACCAGGCGCAATCTTGAGAGCTGTTGTATAACATTTAATTGCGTCGTCTAACCTGAACCCAAGTGTAATCAGGCAGGGAAGTAGGAAGAACTGGCACAGTTGCAAGCTGGCAAAGTTCCCGATACGCATTGCCTAGATTCGTGTATGCTTCAGCAAAGTCAGGATCCAAGGCAATAGCCTGGTGGTAGTGGGCAAGAGCTTGATCAAGCTGGCCCTGTTCACGCAGGAGCGATCCAAGATTTGCATGAGCCGGTGCGAAATGGGGCATTAGTCGCGCAGCTGTGACATTGCAATGGATTGCCTCACGCACGAGGCCACGGTCTCGCATCGCATTGCCGAGGTTACTATATGCGTGTGGGTGGTCCGGTTTCAAGTGAAGAGCTGTGCGATAGCATGAAATTGCTTCGCGCATAAACGTTTCTCGTTGCATCTCAATGGTACTAGCATTGTCATGCATTCCCACCGAAGTCGCATCGACCAGGCCGCTGCTAAACTGGGGCGACATGGGAGGCTGGGCAAGACTACGGAGCGCATTACCAAGGTTGTTGTATGCATCTGGGAAATTGGGCTCGAGTTGTACTGCATGTCGCAAGGCACGGACCGCGCCTTTTGCATCATTGGATGCCAAAAGGCAGCTGCCAAGGTTGCCATGTGCAATCGCAAAGTCAGGCCTGAGTCTTATTGCGGTTTGATAGCACTGTCTTGCCTCGACGAAATTTCCCTGCTCCTGCATTGCGGAACCAAGGTTGCTGTACACGTCAGCAAAGGGTGGGCAGAGTCTTATGGCCTCGCGGTAGTACGCAATGGCAGTTGATAGTTGGCCCTCGTCCTTGAATATCCCTGCGAGATTCGACCAAGCGATGGCGAAACCAGGGTTTAGACGAATCGCCTCTAGGTAACACCTGCGTGCTGCTGCAAGTTTGCCTTGTGCCTTGAATAGATTCCCAAGATTACAGTGTGCATCGACTAGTCCAGGGTCTATGACGAGACCCATTTGGAAGGTTTCAATGGCATCATTAGTCTGTCCGAGATGCATGTGTGCCGATGCTAGATTATTATACGCATCGCCAAATCTTGGTTTGCACTTGATTGCTTTGAGATAAAACCTTTGTGCTCCTAGTAACAACCATTAGACACAGAGACGCTGGTTCCACTGCATCGCGCCCCGAACATCACCAAGTTCTTTGAGCGCGTTTGCCAGATTTGAGTAAGCCTCGGCCATCTGTGGCTCAATGCGGATTGCCTGTGTCAGCCAGCTAATTTATTTCAAGACCCAGACCTGCTGACGCACCTGTTGATTGTAGAAGATGGATTCCGAAAAGTTGCGAAGCTGAAAGTTGATTGCGCCCAAAAGAAGCAAATTGTCCACGCGCGCCTGTGCTGGTAGGTCAACAGATGTGCACATCTAAATAAGCGAGTACTTACAGCATCGATGGTGTATATCTCCTCAGCGATTCTAAGCGCTTCTGAATACATGCCACGGTCGTACTGCACATAAACCTCGTGGCGCAGATCGCGTACCAGGAGCTCCTCCCCATCGCAGGTCGCGTCACGCGCCGGCTTCATGAATGTAGCGGACAGAACTGATGCTTGACGTAGGATACAAACAGCACGGCGACAATCCGTCACGGTTGTTTCCGTCCACTTGGCCTTTCGTATCTCCCACTAGCCTGAGGCTAAAGGAAGGAAGCAAGGTAAACTCCTCCCTCGAAGGGCCCTCGAAGGGGGGGTGGGCTCCAATTGAGCTAAGTGGTTGTAGAGAATCTAAGTCCCGTACATCAAGCTGACGTTAAGGTACGGTCCGTAGAAGCAGGATGGGCACAGTGGGTGAGGGGGGAAGCTCAGTGTGCTACCTCGGGCAGCACTACCGCGCGAAATCACCACCAATCAACACGAACTTTGAAAAGCAGCAGAAAGTATCGCACAAGCACCACGGACCGGGGCGTGCCCGCAACAGCCCGCACGTGCAACTTGAACGCACAGCTGCAACGGCAGCTGCCAAAAGTTGTGCCAGAGCAAACCAGAAATAAATCGAATAGCTAGGATCGACATGGTCTCGCGTTAGAGTGGGGTTTGGTATTCATGTCGATCCTAAGGCCGAGTTTTTACATCGTCAAAAGTCAAGACCTGTGCAGTAGGTTAAAGTGCTAGGTTAGAATCCGTTTCTGTCAGCGCTCGGGCGCGTCTTCCGCTACGTCAACTCCCACGCCCAGCTCGGGCTCACCTACACCCGCTGCGCCGAGTTCGCACTCGACGGCTACATGGACGCCTCGCACGGACGCGAGATCCACCGCACGGCGTCCGGCGTCTGCCGCTCGCGCTCCGGCGGCTACATCTTCGCATGCGGCGCGTCCGTCTGCGCGTGGTCGTCGGTCCAGTACGCGACAGCGATCTCGACCTTCGAGGCCGAGCTGTACGCCCTGGTCGTGCTCGTCCGCGTGCTCCTGAGCATGCGCTCTCTCGCATCCTTCATGCTCAAGCGCAGCCTCCGGCCGTCGCACGTCTACTGCGACAACGAGTCGGCAATACTCTTCCTTCGCGGACGCGACCTTTCCGCCACGACGCACTCGACTCCGGCGAGCTCGTCCTCCATCACGTCCCATCGAAGTTCAACCCGGCGAACACTCTCACTGCCGCCGAGGACGAGGATCGCTTCCGGCGCTCGCTCGCAATGATCGCCGGGCTCCGCGTCAACGACAGGAACGAGCTCGTCGACCTTCCTCTCGCCTAGGCCTGGCGGCCCGCGACCTTACCGAGCCAACCTGGCCAACGGGCCGCTCCTCCCGCCCGCCTCCCTGCACGCCGCGGCGTGCACAACACTCCCGCGCCTGAGGCCGCGGGCGACCCCGCGGGGTCGCCCGCCGGAGCCCGCGCCTACTTCCTCCCTACGCCCGGAACAGCGACAACCCTGCGGGGTTCTACGCCGGTTCCCGCTCTTCGGCCTCAACACGGCGTGCCCGCAAGGCACGCCGCACCGCCGTTCCTCCCCGGCGCGGTGCCGTGGCACCCGCCCGCCTCCCTGCACGCTGCGGCGTGCACACTCTCATTCCCCGACCTGGCTTCGCAGTCCCCGCTCCGCCTTTCCGGCCGCGGCGGGGGAGCAGAGGAGCCAGGATACCCCTAGGATACCCGTAACGCAGTCTCACTCTGATCTGCCCCCCCCCCCGACGCGCGGTCGACGCACAGCCTCTACGGAGGACTAATGAATCCCGCTGCGCCGGGCCCAAAATAATGAACTAATAATCTACGCCGGCGTAGATTACGTTGATCGAAGCACTGCAGTGCACTGCCCGGCGAGCGCCGAACTACGCGGCGACGCTCATCTTCTTATCCGTGAGCGAGCCATGTCTACTACCGGTCCGGGGACAGGAGCCCCCCCGGATGGTATGCCGGAAGGCTCCATAGTTACGTCTCAGCGTCCATCGAGCTGTCCCACGTGGTACGCCCAGGATATTCACCTTCAAGAGAGACGCAAGATGATCACGAACATGTGAGTAACGCCATAATACATCATTGATTCTCACTCATAGAGCACGGCTTCTACAAGCGCGGAAGCCGAACGCGCCAGTTGAATGGATGCAAAAACTTCCACAGATGGCGAGACGCTTGGAAGAATCATTGTTCCGATCCGCACAGTCGTTTGTACGTCGTGTGTTCTTGGCTGCACTTAAGTTTTTCAAATTCAGGATGCGTATAAAGATACACAAACCTTAAAGAAGCGGCTCCAGGCCTTGGCAATAGCCATGGGCCTGCGTGCCCAGCAGCAAAAACAAAAAAGCGAAGAGAACAGCTCGAATAGTGCAGATGCTGGCACATCAGACGTTGGTAACCGAGGTGTGTATGTTCTGTCTTGGCGCAACCTCACGCTCTATTAGATGTAGCTATCGCATGCGCAAACAACGCAGGTGGAGGGGGGGATCCTGTGCTATCCACCTCATCACATATCACAGCTGGGGACATTTCGGCTAATGCTGCGCGGCGTCTTACGTCTAGCTCTACCTATTACTATGAGTAACCAATAGGCAAATACGACGAATCGCTTTGTCAGTCTGTCAGATATAAATCCACTTATGGGGCTCAATTCGACGGAGGGGAATAGTGGTATCGACACGAACACCACCACAAGTGATGCCGCATCTGTGAATGCTTCTTCGGGAGCACTAGCTGCTAGGAACTCATCAACGACAACACGCGAGCCTCCTCCCATACAGCGTCCGTATCATGCGGATCAGAGGCAGCAAGTCCTTCGCCAACAGCAACAGCGCTTGCTGCTGCTGCGACATGCATCAAAATGCCCCCACGAAAATGGAACGTGCCCCGTCACTCCACACTGCGCAGGAATGAAACGACTGTGGAAGCATATTGCTGAATGTAAAGATCAGCAGTGTCAAATGGCCCACTGCGTATCGTCAAGATATGTCCTTTCGCATTATCACCGCTGCAAAGATCCTCGGTGCGCAGTCTGTGGTCCAGTGCGTGAAGCGATTCAACGAAATCATGAGAAGGCGAAGCAACTAGCAATGGCTCAGTAACTTCCCGTGTCCGCTGACTTACTTGGGGTGGGAGGCAAGGCCTCTTAGGCACAATTCCGGCTCAAATGTTCACGAGCCACATGGTAACGCAAGAGATCTCTCGAAGGATGCGTCTTTGCATGACGGACGGAACACTTCTGGACCTTTGCGTGGACATTCTCAACGCAACATTGGCGGAGATCGAACGCGACAACGACCCAGTTCAGCAAAGCCGGCGAGAGGTGTACAAAGACATGGCGGACAAGGTTATGGGTCAACTGGTATGCAAGAAGCAAAGAAAACGCGCATTAGCGGAGCCTCAACTGGGAACGTTTCACGACACGCTGATCTTCCCAAAAGCCAAGATGTACCTCTTTCAACAGTACCAACACCAGCAGGGCGGATTGAAGAAGGAACAAGCCTTCTTAATTCCTTCACTCCATCGCAAATTCATGCGCATCTTCAATCCTTGAAAACTGGACTGCGGTTGACCGCAGCTAAGATACGTCAGAAATGTTCGCCTGTCTTGAAGAAGCTAACCGATCATGAGTGCTCATGGATATTCATGCAACCTGTCGATCCGGTCGAACTCAACTTGCCGGACTACTTCGATATAATCAAGAATCCAATGGATCTAGGGTCAATTAAAAAACGCATGGAAAATAACTGCTACAAGTCCATATCTGAATTTGGGTCTGACGTACGGCTCACGTTCGACAATGCAATCTCGTATAACGGAGATGGCTCGGATGTTTGCAAAGTTGCACGTGAAATGAAAGCTGTTTTTGAGAAGTTGTATCATGCCATGATCACAAGTATTGAAGCCGAGGAAGAGCATCGCAAGTCAAATGGCGATGTGTGCGTGCTCTGTGGTTGCGAAAAGTTGCTTTTTGAACCCACGGTCTACTACTGCAATGGCTCCTGCAATGGACAACGAATCCGGAGGAATTCGTATTATTACACTGGAGGGCGAAATCAGTATCACTGGTGTCAACAATGTTTTAATGAATTACGCGAAAAGGAACCACTCGAGTTTGCGGATTGCACCCTGTGGAAGAAAGAATTGCAGAAGAAGAAAAATGATGAGATGCACGAAGAGCCTTGGGTTGAATGCTCGCAATGCAACCGATGGGTGCACCAAATCTGCGCCTTATTCAATGGCCGCATGAACAAAGGAACCACTATCTATCACTGCCCATTTTGTTTTATGGCAAGACGCGGCGCCAAAGAGCCACATGCGAAGCCACTTGGCGCCAAAGAGATCCGCCACACCAAAATGTCACGTTTCCTCGAAGATCGAGTGATCAAGTCGCTAGATGATGCATATGCACTTAGGTCTTCAAATGGGGTCCCCCATTTGACAGCATCTGCTGTGTATGTGCGTCAGTTATCTAACATTGAGAAAGCGCATCAGGTGAAACCTAGAATACTTCAGCGTTATGCAGATCAGAAATATCCACGCGAGTTTCCAGTTCGATCAAAATGCATCCTCCTCTTTCAAGAAATGGATGGTGTTGATGTCATTCTATTTGGAATGTACTTGTACGAATATGGCCATAACTGCCCCCAACCAAATCAACGACGCGTCTATGTCAGCTATCTTGATTCAGTCTACTACTTTCGACCGCGGCAATACAGAACGCTTGTCTATCATGAGATGCTCATTGCTTATCTAGCCCACACGAAGGAGCGCGGTTTCCACACCGCGCATATTTGGGCATGCCCCCCCTGCAAGGGCGATGATTACATTTTCTTTTGTCACCCAGAGGACCAGAAAACTCCCAAGGATGATCGTCTTCGCTCATGGTACATAACCCTACTAGAAAAAGCGAAGGAAGAGGGTATTGTCACTCACATCACGAATCTCTGGGACGAACATTTCCAGGCAGACTACGATGTGAATCATATTCCTTATTTTGAGGGTGATTATTGGCCCGGTGAGGCTGAAAACGTGGTCAAGGCTCTTGAAGACGAGGCCAATGAGCGAAACGAATCTAAATCTCGTAAAGCAGGGAGTGCTACCAAATCAAAAGCAAAAATGAAAGGGCGAACGCAGCGCGGCCTTCGATCAGATGGCTCCATAGAGGAGGAAAATGGGCAGGATGCACTTGTCGCACGAATGGGCAAAATTCTAGAACCAATGAAAGACGCCTTCATCGTAGCATACTTGCAGCCACGTGACTTTGCTCATGTCATGGAAGGACGATATGAAAGAGAGCAGAAACGGTTGTTGGGCGATGATGTTCCAAAATCCAACGCGGGAAGTCCAGCCGGCCAAGTCCTTAATAGCGAGGTGTCTGCGGAGTGCTCATCACCACCATCAGATACAGTGGGAGCTCCAGTGATATCAACGAACATTGCCGAGCCCACGGTTCGATTGGATGTCACTCATCCCGTGTCAAATAATGAAGATAATCAGGCCCCGACTGAACCAACCGCTGACGTCAACGCAAAACCTAGCCACGGTAAAGCCTTCGACGAAACAGAAGATACCGACGAAATCATTGAATCTGAGTTTTATGATACGCGACAGCAATTTCTGAATCTGTGTCAAGGAAATCATTATCAATTCGATGATCTACGGCGGGCCAAACATACCTCAATGATGTCGCTATATCACATGCACAATCCAGATGTACCAAAATTTCTTGTAACGTGCTCAAATTGCAATGTTGACATAAATTCTGGCTACTGCTATACCTCAGAAAAAGATACTGAGTTTCATCTTTGTCAGGTGTGCTTAGCGTTTACGTTACATCATATCATCCTCTATTTGTCAGGACTGCTATCAAAAGATGCACAAGGTTTTCGCTGACAAATTTCCTTTTCGAAGGTCTGTTGTTGGAAGTGATTCCCAGGCCCAGCTCACCGAAGAGCAACGTCGTGACCGCCATCGCTCCATACAATTGCATATGCAGCTACTTCAGCACGCTTCTGGCTGCCGAAACCAACAATGCCCTTCAGCGAACTGCAACAAAATGAAGGTGCACTTTAATCGCCTATCTGAGTTCAATAATAAATTCATTCCACACACAGAATCTGTTGAAGCACGGAGCGACTTGCGTGACACGTGTACAGGGCGGCTGCGCTATTTGCCGCCGTATTTGGGCACTGTTGCAGATTCATGCGCGTCAATGTCGCCGTGATGCGTGTATGGTACCTAAGTGCAGGCAGCTCAAGGAACAGTTGAGGGCTCTTGCCCAACAACAAGCCCAAATGGATGAACGTCGCCGAGCAGCAATGAACGCTGCTTATCGCAGGTGTGTATATACAGTATATAGCTAAGCTGAAAATTGACCCTGGCCACACAGGGAGGGCTCCAAAGCGGCCGTATAACTGCAGCCGTCTTGCGGAGGTCGCTCGGGCCCTCATGAAGTAGAATGAAATGTCGTACTAGCATAATTGTGAAAGAAGTCAAGCTAACAATGGCCAGTGCAGCGATGCGATGCCCCAGCGATGCGATGCGATTCACTCTCTAGAACGTGGATTCGCCCCTGGGTGTCCGCCATCCTGGACGTAGTGCCTTTGTTGGCTGAGGAACATCTGCATCACAGTAGTTAGGGCTCAGCCTCCGACAGACGCCGGGGGTCGCCCAACGCACTACAATAGCCACGTTGGCCGCGATGGCACGCATACCACACGAGCACCCGGAGCGAGCCCTAGTCGACTAACCCTCGGAGTTTTGCTCATAGCGGCTTCGGCAGGGCCGTTCGCCGGGTGGTTTCTCGGCCGCAGCGTCCACCGGGTATTGCTCGTCGCCCGCGGCATTCCGTCGCACTCTAGTTGGCTTGGGGCCCGCCCGGCCCCCCGGCGCCTGAATAAGGCCCCCAGCCGCCGACCTCTAGAGGTCCAAAAGCACGCGTAAAAACGCGTAAAAACGCCACAAAAAACGCGGTCCAGGAACCCGCGTAATTTACGTGAGGCACGTGGTACAATTTTCTTTTTACTCAAATTTTTTTCTAGTCTAAATCGACGCCGTTTGCATCTCCTCGGACCCCCGGCGGGAAAAATAAAATAAGACAAAAAAACAGCTCCGCGTAAAAAAACGCGCAAAAAAAGAGTAAAGACGCGTAAAAAACGCCGTGGCGACGGCTTACGTAAAAAACGCCGTCACGTAATTTGGGACCTAGCCGCCGACCCGGGCCCCAAATTGCCCGGGACGATCCGGGACGTCGTGGGTTCCCTGGGGTCCCGTCCGGCGCAGGGGGGGGGGGGGGGTTCTGGGTGAGTTTCTGCCGCCGCCGGCGGCCGCGGGGCCGCGTGGCCTACTAGAACAAGCTTGTGAGTGACCTCGAGCTCCGGGGTACGGGGTGGTAAACTTTGATTAAATCCTACTCGGGCGTACTCAGGGGGACCTCGGGTGACTTCCCCTAGGTCCCGGGCGAGTTCCTGGCACGTATTTTCTGGGCCGGTCGGTCGGTCGGTCGGTCGTCGTCGTCGTCGTCGCCGCCGCCGCCGCCGCCGCCGCCGTCGTCGTCGTCGTCGCGCGCGCGGGGGAGTTTCGAACCTAATTCAGTCGCAGGGCGACCGTAGAGAGGTGATGAGCTGTCCCATGCCAGGCATCACGGTATATGAACCCGGGGATGCAAAAATCGAGTGGGGGCGCGCCCCGCAGTCGCAGTGATCGACAGTCTCGCCGCAGAAGGCCGCCAGCAGGAATTTTTGCGCTCCCGAACCCCGTCGTCGCTGTCCGGCGCAGCACGCGCGCTTTTTGTGCACCACCTAGCGCAAAAACGGCGCGGCGCTGGCGCATCACATCATCTCAGCGTTATCCGTCGGTCGAAACGATGCAGTTTTGTACGATTTCGATGAAGTTTCCGATTACTACTTGAATAAATTAACCCAAGCGTTTGCTTTTATAACGAGCCGGGGTCCTCACACTTAATTCACCGGCCGCGCTGAGCTTACGGCGTCCGCCGTCGGAAGCGGTTCCTGTTGAAAGTAAGCAAAATCGCACCGATGGCGGCGCGCGGTGGAAAATTCCAGAGTGCTGGCGGGACGAAAGCCATGAATCTCACAGAAAAATGTTCGCACTTAATTCGAGGGCCTGTCCCACGCGATCAAACGCGTCGGTTTCTGAGGGGTGGGAACAACGCGGGTCAAAGTGTTCTATTCACCCCCCCCATGCTCAGGTCGACCCGGCTCTAGTTCCAGTCTACGGCCCCGGGTGCCCGGAGTTTCTAGCCACGATGCGAGACACAGTTACCGCGCCCAGTCTGTGAAGTTCACTTTTGGACGGCCTGAGTAATCAAGCATACGGAGAATACCCTAGCGAGTATTTGCCGCGACCAGGCTATGTGCGCGCGCCTACGATCCCCGCGACTGCATTTTGGGCCGAGGGAGGGCCGGCCAAGCTGCCGCTGCTGCGCGCCGCCCACAGGCACGCGCAGTTCCACCTCGACTACGAGGACACCTCCTCTGGCGTATCGTCCGACGACGGCTGCAGGGGCTCGGCCGCGACGAGTCGCGCCACGCTGCGCGCCGCCCGCGCGCGCACGCGTGCTCGAATTCGCTCCACTCGGGGCCACGCGCCTTAAAGCCGACGCACGCGACGCGCCGCCCTTTCTAATCATCGGAAAGGCGCCTCTGCGTGCCGCATTGGGACCGGCACGGCGCGCGGTGGCTCGACGCGGAGCCGGGAGACCATAGAGGGATCGGCGTACTCCGCAAATACCGGTATATACCGGGTATTTACCATACCGACGGTATATACCGGCATATACCCGTCCCGCTTTGTCCATACCGGGTATTTGAGCATCCATACGCCGAGATCAGCGCCATGTCCCCGGTCCACGACCTGGCGCTCATCGCGACCCTCGACTCGGCCCCGGGCCTGCCGCCGAAGCCGTCGAACGCGCAACGAGCCCTCATCGACACGGGCGCACAGGCATCAGACACGCGACTGCGCCGCGTCGGCCTGCGCCGCGAGCCGTCCGGGGCGCCCGGCGAGCCCTCCGGCTTCCGCGGCTACAGCGGCGCGGTCATGAAGAACCTCGGAGTTTACACGACGCCGGTCAAGAGCGCGGGCGTAAGTTCGAGATCAAGAGCGACAACGACGCCTCGGTCAAGGGGTCGCCGCCGATCCTGAGCTGAGGCGCGCTCCGCGCGCAGGGCATGAGCTTCGACCGGGACTTCAGCGTCATGGTCACGCCCGAGGGGCAGCGCGTACCGCTCATGCACTACCAAAACCTCATCCTCATAGACATCGAACTGAGCGAGGGCGAGCCCGAGACGGCCACGCCCGAACCGGCGCCGTCGCTCCCCGACAACGCGACGCCGCGCGTCTCGCGCGGCCTCGCGGCGGGCTCCTTCCTCGCCGCAGCCCTCGCCGTCGCGGTCGTCAGCCTGGATGCCGTGATCGAGCCCACCCGAGGGCTCCGGCAGCGCGAGTGCTTCGAGGCCTTCGCCGGGTGCGGCGCCATGGCCGACGCCTTCCGCGCCGACGGCGGCGTCGTCGCTGGCATGCTCGAGCGCGACCCGGCCAAGCTGCCGCTGCTGCGCGCCGCCCACAGGCACGCGCAGTTCCACCTCGACTACGAGGACACGTCCTGGGCTTCGTTCTCAGGTCGAACGGCGCGCTGCGCGTCGTGCTCGGCGGTCCGCCGTGTCAACCCGTGGCACCTACCGGCAAGCGGCTCGGGATCGGCGACCCTCGCAGCGCCGCGCTGCTGGGCTTCGTCAACATCGTCAGGCGCCTGCAGCCACACATGGCTGTCCTCGAGGACACTTGCAAATACTACGGGCTTCCGGTTCCCCGCCGTTCACAAGTGCGCCGCGTGCCGCGTCTCAAACTTGACGCGCGCGCGCACGTACCACACGTCGCGCGGAGCCGAGACGAGCCACCGCGTCACGTTCGAGTTCGACCTCCATGGGCCGGTCGCGACACAGTCGGTCGACGGCGCCATATACCTCCTCGTCGGCGTCACACAGACGCGCGCCGGCCACTACGTTTACGCCGCCGGCCAGCGCCGCAAGTCCGACTTCGTCGGCGACGACGACGTCTCGTCGACGTTCCGCGCGCACGCGTCGTTGAAATCCCGCGGGATTGAGATCGGCACAGCCGTCTTCGACTTCGGCGGCGAATTCAACTCCGTCGCCGCGGAGGCCATGCTAGCCCAGCTCGGCGTCGCCTACCGCCCGCGCGCGAGCGACTAGCACGTCGACCGCGTCGAGTCGGAGCACCGCCGAATCTACGAGGGCATGCGTCCCGCCATGCTCACGTCCGGGGCCCCCGCGAACCTCTGGCTCGACTGCGCGCTCGACAGGTGCGACAAGTCGAACTGCCTCGCGCGGGACGGCGTCACGCCGCACGAGGCGCTCTTTTAGAGCGTCCCCGACATCTCGGCGCTCGTCCCGTTCTACCCTCACATAGCCATCTACGACAACATGGGCCACGACTCCCGGCACGACTCGCGCGGGATCGCGGCCCGGTACCTCGGCGCGCAGCGGCACATGGGCGTCGGCACGGTCCGCGCCAAGGTCGACCGCGCCTACCGCAACGCGCGCACGTTCTCGTACATCGGCCCGCCGCACGGCACCCTCGACAAGGCGCGCATGGTGGTTAGCCTGCCACCGCCGAACGTCGTTGGGCCGCCAGAGCCGCCGCTCCCCGGCGCGCAGCCCCCGCTCGTCCCCGCCGTCCCCGCCGCGGGAGCGGGGGAGCCCGGTGACGGAGCGGGGGAGCCCCCGAAGGTCGCGGACGACCCCCCGACGCCCAAACGCGACCGGTCCAGACCGGCACGCTATGACCCGCGGTCCGGCGTCGCCGACGGACACTGGTCGACCGCGGCCGCGGCTCACGCCGTCGCGGAAAAGCTGCCGGCGACGCCCCACGGCGCCATGCCGCTCATGAGCGCCGAGCTCCTCGCCGGCGAGATTAGCGACGAAGTGCCCAAGGCACACCGCGTCAACGCGACGCGCAACCATAGACAATGCTTGGCGTATCGTCCGACGACGGCGTCCATATTGGGCCAGTACAGTCTCTGTTTTTAGTCTTGAAGGGTACTATCTTGGCCCGCATGCTCCATCGTACTGGACCCGTGGTATGCACGTGATTCTAAGTCTAAATTGGGCGGTGCTAACTAAAGCTGCGCTTCTCTCTGATCTCAGTGTGGGTGTTAGGGCTCCTCTAGACAGAGCTTCTAGTTCTAGGGAACTGTGTCTGCCGAATAAGCAGATTCTGAGGATTCCAGTTTTGGTAGGTGGGATTTTGCAGTAACCCTCCTGCCGCCCGGTTGGGCTTCCATTACCGTCGAGATTACCAGAAAACCATGCCCAGTGAACCGTTGAACTCTAGCCGGTCGCCCGACCCCCGGACTAGGAATGTTACTAGACGCAGGGGTGGAGCCGACATGCCGCGTCGGTGACGTAATTTCCGGACCGCGTGAGGGGGATGGCGTGCGGTCCATCGTGCGACAATTCGCAAAAGATATATTTTGGTCGCATATCTTATATTATTCACGCGTTTAGAGCAACTCGGTGCAAGCTGCTCCCAGGCTCGCCATGGAAAAACGTGCGATGCGAAGCTCTGCGGGCTGCGCGCTGCTACCGGCGGATGCGGCGCCTGCGCGAAAGAGGCAGAAGAAGCTGTCGGAAGCAGAGCTCGGCAAGAGGAAGAAGAAGAACCGGAAGCGCGGTGAAAAAGTTAGGTGCACAGTCTGCCAAGAGGTATGCACAAACAACTTTAATCACTCCCATGCTGATCTGAGATGAGTGCTCTGAGAATGGGGTGAGGTAGTGGTGGTGGTGGTGGGGGTGGTACCCCTGGGGCCGCTGGAGACCACTCGAATCCACCGGAAATATGCTCGTTTTGGCTCTATCGACCAGTTTTGATCTCGAGCTTGTGCAAACTGGTGGTTTTGATGCTCGATCATAAATTTCGACTGTGTGGAGGTCATGGCCGAGCAGCCCTCCAGCTGCCGATCGGCCAGAACGGGTGGTTCACAGGCTTCGTTGACCCCATGTTGCAGCTGTCTTGACCACTCATTTTGAGCAAGTCGCGACTCCAGGGTGGGTGAGGTAGTGGTGCTGGGTGGGCGGTTCACGATACGAGGGATGGTTCCGTATCCGCTAATCAATGGCTCACGACGACGGAGAGCTCGTCTAGATGTGGAACTTTTGGGTCTAGATGTGGAACCAAGGGTTGAACCCAAGGCCTTGATTCCAGCTCGTCGGAGGCGGCATGTGGCGTCATGGCCCGAAACACGCCGCGTTGCGTCAGTGCCTTGGCGATCTGTGGGTTCGGAAGTGGCCGTGGAGCCGCGGCGTAGCGGCGACGCGCCCTGAGCCGAAGGCGGGCTGCCAGAGGCATCTGCGAGGCTGCCACGGGCTGTACCAGACCTCCGGGCAGCCCCAGCGACTTCGCCGGCGAGCGTGCCGGCGTGCGCGGCGTGTACTAGGATGGTGTTGGCGGGAGGGCAGGCGCCGGAGAGCGACGGCGCGACGCCGAGCACCACGGTCGGCGGCGCGGAGGCCGCGGCGACTCAGTCCGCGGCGGCCGCCGCGGAGGCCCTGGCGACGCGCGCGAGTGCAAGAGCTCCGGCCGCGCCAGCCGCGCCGCGCCGCATGGACGCCGCGCCGTGCCGCGCGTAGGGCTTCGCGCCAGCCCTGCGACTCGCCGGCGCATCATCCCGCGCTCCGCTGTCGCGCCGCGCCCAAAGCTTGTCGCGCTGGCGCGGCTCGTGGGCCAGTCGAGCTGCGCGGCTCGCGCCGCTTCGCGCTTCGCGCCAGCCCCGCCGCTCGACTGGCGCTCGCACGAGCTCCGGCCGCGTTGGCCGCGGCGCCGCGGCGCATGGGCCAGGCGCGCCGCGCGCCGCGGTCGCTTCGCGCCCGGCCAGCCTGAGCCCCACCTCCCAATTGAGCCGCCCCCGGCATGCCGCCCCGGCGCGCGGCGCGGCCCGGGTAACATGGGCTTGTTGTTCGTCGTCTGGGCCTGCCTAAACCGGGTCGCGGCGCTCCGCGCCGTGACGCGTCTTGACGCCCCGGGCCCTGCAAAAAGGTTTGCTGCCCCGGCAAGCCCTCACAATACCCGTCTTGTGCGGCGTGCCGCCGCTTCGCGGCGGCCGATTTTTTTTTGTACGCTCCCCCGTATCGTGCACAAGCCTGCTGGGTGGGGTGGTTCACTGCTGGCCTCCATGGCCAGGGTCCCACACGTTTCACTCAATCAGCGCAATGCGCGCATTTATGCTAATGATTTCGATGCTACCGTCCATCGCTGCGCTCTCGCTAAAGCCCAAACGAGGGTGGCAGGTCGTAACGATGCGTCACTCGCGACCGAGTTATGTGCCCGGGGAGATCGCCGACCCAGGATACGTGCGCATCTTCGACACCACGCTTCGCGATGGAGAGCAATCCCCGGGCGCGACATTAACTTCGTATGAATCTAGCGTTTTTTCTAAGCTACCCTATTCTAGTTAATTTGCTCGCAGGTCCGAGAAGTTAGATATTGCCAAACAACTGGCAAACTTACAAGTCGATGTTATCGAGGCTGGGTTCCCGATAGCATCACCTGATGATTTCAATGCCGTGCAACAGATCGCCAGGATTGTCGGTAATAACGTTGATGAGTTCGGCTATGTACCGGTGATATGCGGGCTGTCTCGAGCAAACCTGCGGGATATTGAATGCGCTTGGGATGCAGTCAAAAGCGCAAGACTGCCACGTGTACACACGTTCATTGCCACATCTAAGATTCATATGGAAACAAAATTATGCAAGACGCCCGATGAAGTTCTGCGGATTGCCGTTGATGCAGTCACGTTTGCACGATCTCTTGGCTGTGACGACATTGAGTTTTCGCCTGAAGATGCTGGGCGCAGTGATGTGCTATCTGTGTCCCTGTGTACTGTTTACGATGACGCCACGATGTAGGTTAATTTCCTAGTCCGCGTACTTGAGGCCGTGGTCGACGCGGGTGCAACAACGCAAAACACAGCGCAAGTTTCCTAGTAGTTGTACAACATCGTCAATAAATAGGCTCAACATTCCAGATACAACAGGATGGAATACGCCATGGGAGTTTGGGGAACTCATTGCCACATTGCGGGCGCGGCTTGGCATTCGTGCAGAACGTGTGGTATTTTCCACACATTGTCAGAATGATCTTGGTCTCGCATCTGCCAATTCGTAAGTATAGTTCACTCCTGAATGTCTCTACTACTTTCTTACATTGGTAGGTTGGCAGGTGCTTACAGGGGTGCAAGGCAGATCGAATGTACTATAAACGGCATTGGCGAGCGCGCTGGAAATGCAGCTCTTGAAGAAGTTGTCATGGCCCTCCACTTGCGAGGCACCTCGGTCGCAGCTTTTGCAGACGGACCGCACCTGCGCACTGGTATCAATCCGACCTTCATCACGCCATGCTCGCGGATGGTGTCTGAGTACACAGGTATGGCTATCCAACCGCATAAAGCAATTGTTGGGGCAAATGCGTTTCGGCACGAGTCTGGTATACACCAAGATGGCATGATTAAAAATAAGGCGACTTATGAGATAATGACTCCTGAATCAATCGGTCTGGCTCGTGGGCAGGCTGAATCGGGTGCGGGTATCGTACTCGGAAAGCACAGTGGTCGCAACGCTGTTTCGACTCGTCTTATTGAACTCGGCTACGAAAATATTGTCAAGGACCAGTCCAAGCTCGAAGCTATCTTCACTCGTTTCAAGCATGTGGCGGAGCGCAAAAAGGGAGGCCTTGATGACGACGAGCTTGAAGCGCTCATCTCAGATGAGGCCTATCAAAATCTGCGTGCGCTTTGGACTTTAATTGGTGCTCAGGTCACCACGGGCTCTGGAGTGATTCCATCTGCTACTGTTAGTATGCAAGGCCCCGATGGCGTGACGCGCCATTCCGCTGTCACTGGCTCGGGACCAGTGGATGCAGTGTACAAAGCAATTGATACGCTTACAGACGTGAAAGTAAATCTAGAGACATACAGTCTTGAGTCCGTCAATGCCGGCATTGATGCCATGGCCACTACCAAAGTTATAATCAAGCCACTGACTGGAACGCAGCTGGAGTCAGCTGCTGTTCACAGTCAATCGGGGGCCACAACAAATAGGCGCTTTTCTGGGTCTGGTACCGACACAGATATTGTGATTTCCTCTGCGCGTGCCTACGTTGCCGCAGTGAACAAACTTCTCAACTGGAATCTTCGCAACTCACTTCCTGGAAGTGGAAGTGTAGCGCTTCAACAGATGGCAGGAGGCTACGAGGCTGCCAAATAAAGCTACAAAATATACAGTACGAACGATCCTGTTGTCGTGGGTAGCCTCAGACCATGTGCCAAGATCTCTCGGGAGAATGACACTGACAATATCCGTCCCAGATTTGACTTTGCTCGAGTATTCAGAAAAATCTTGATTAATCCGAGCGGACTCAACCCTAGAACACGCGATGTTTTCCAGTTGTGAGGGCTGGATACGGACCAATGACTCACGTGAACCCCTTGGTGAGAGTCATGTGACTGAACCGATGTAGTCAGTCGACTCCGCCTGGCACAATGTCGATGTCACTGTCAAGCATCCGTTGCGGCCGCAGCCGTCGGCCACGCGCCCGACCCTGGGTGCCGCCTCCAGGGGTCGCCCCAGCCCACGGGCGGGGAATTTGGCGCGCTGTAGTTTGGACTTTAGTTTGGGCCCGGGGCCCGGCGCGCTGTAGTCTGGGCCCCGGGGCCTCGACGCCTGAGTAAGCCCCCTAGCTGCCGGCGTAGTGTTGTCGCCGAGGGCGCCCCAGTATGGCCGCTCGCAGTGCTTACGCTTGCCGACCCGAACCAGCGACCCCACACTCTCTAACCACCACGGCCGATCGTGAGATATTGATGCGTCGTTGAACTAAGCCGTCAACGCTTACTTGGGCGATGTCCGAGTCCAGATCAGGGGGCGGGGCACACCAAGTAGGTGATACATACGGAGCGAGCCCCGGTCAAAAAATCCCGGGACTCCTCTATATGGACAGTGAGGAGGACGTAGACGCCGCCGGGGAGTACCTGAATTCCTTCCAGCGCACTGCAGCGGCGGTGGGTGACTTTGTGAATGCGGTCGTCACAGGCCCAGCCAGGCCAAAATCCGCGATGTCACTTTCCGCGACGAATCGGGACGAACCCCGTACGCCTGAATACATTCCGGAGGCTCTGAATTCATTTTCGACGCCCTTGGTACCGTGTAAGACGACCTCGCGGAAGCGCGCGCGTGCGCGCGCGGCCGAAAATCCCAAAAAAATAAAATAAAATACACCGTCGACGAGCTGCGGTGCGGCCCCGGTGCCGCCGCCTTTCCTGACGGAACGCCCGGGGACGTGTCCGGGCGCCGGGCCGTGGTCAAGGGCAGCTGATTGTGGTCACAGGCGTCTAAAATGCGAAGTTTGTCATCTTCGGCATCTTGATGAATTTTTAGCCATCTTTTTACGACGGGCTGGCTGCCTCGACGCGCTGCGGCGCCCCTCGGCGCCCGAAGGCGCCGCGTCTTGCGCCACTCGCACAAGCTGCCGCGTGGCTGCCCGATCCCCAGGCCATCATGTGACGCCACGAAGACGGTCGCACGGGCCGCTACTTCTTAGCTTGCTTTGTCTAGGAGCGCGGCGGCGGCGCATGTCAGCGTCACGCCGCTTATTTTGCCGCGCGACCGCGGAAGGTTGCGAACGAGATCTGCCGAAATCTTCGGGGTACCCGGGTTGACCATGACGACGAGCGACGGCCCGAGCGACACACAGCTGTCGCCGCAGCCCTACAAGTGTTTCGACGCACGCAATGCAAGTGTTTGCCCGCCGCCGATACTGCTCGATACGTTCACTGCAACTGTCTACGAGTGTTTCGTGAGCTCTAGTTAGTGTTTGTAACACTTGGCTACAGCTCTGCTACCCACCCCGGGAGCGACCAAATTTGATGGTTTGGCTGCAAAAGGACCAATTTGGTTGAAAATCTAAAATTCTCTATTGACCGGTGCTTGATTCAATAATTGTGATTACTAATCCTGTCCGGACGTGTGAGCGAAATATGCCCAGTGAGAGCGTCAAGGTAGTCGTTCGAGTGCGTCCGCTCTCTCGAAAGGAGCAGCAAGATGGGCATGTCGCGACAACTGTAGCCGAGGAGGCGCGGGGCACCATTACTTGTACCAACCCGAAGGCCGATGCGTCCGACCCACCCAAATCATTTACTTTTGATGCGGTTTTTGCAGCAAATTGTACACAGAAGTCCATCTACGACAAGTGCGGTGCTACGGTTGTCGAGGCTGTGCTTAATGGTTACAACGGAACTATATTCGCATACGGTCAGACGGGGGCAGGAAAAACTTTCACCATGGAAGGCGTCCCCGACCCACCTGAACTCCGTGGTATTATTCCCAACGCTTTCCAACATATCTTCGATAAGGTTGCTGTTGCTGAGGAGCATCAGCACTTCCTTGTGCGTGCATCCTACCTCGAAATTTACAATGAAGAGATTCGTGATCTTTTGTTTCCGCGCGTGTCTGACAATTTCACCAACAACTAATGACTAGTCTATGTCTCAACGTAGTGCAAGTACTACATAGGTCAAAAGAACCGAAGAACCGATTAGATTTAAAAGAAAATGTAGACTCTGGCGTTTATGTGAAGGATCTTACCTCGTTTGTGGTGAAATCATCGCATGAAATTGATCAAGTAATGCAGGCAGGCAAGAAGAATAGATCAGTGGGCGCGACGCTTATGAATGCTGGTTCTTCGAGATCTCACGCCATCTTCACCATCATCGTGGAGTGCGCAGAGGTGGATGAAAAACGCGGTGAGCACATACACGTGGGCAAATTAAATCTCGTTGACCTGGCTGGCTCGGAACGTCAAGCGAAAACAGGGGCCACCGGCGATCGGCTGAAGGAAGCAACAAAGATAAACCTGTCCCTGTCTGCACTAGGGAACGTCATTTCGGCTCTAGTAGATGGTAAGTCGCAGCATATTCCATATCGTGATTCGAAGTTGACTCGTCTACTACAAGATTCATTGGGCGGAAACACAAAGACTGTGATGTGTGCCAATTGCGGTCCGGCGGGCTATAACTTCGATGAGACCATTTCCACACTCCGGTATGCAAATCGTGCAAAGAACATCAAGAACAAGCCAAAAATCAACGAGGACCCGAAAGATGCTATGCTGCGCGAATTTCAAGATGAAATCAAACGGCTCAAGGAGCAACTAGCTAGTCAGGGGGTGGATAGCTTTGGCTATGGCACCGGTGAGGGTAAGATAGTCACTGAGCAACGAGTGGTAGAGAAGGTCATTGAGGTCGAGAAGATTGTTGAAGTACAAGGAGCAGCGACAGAAGAGGAACTTGCCGAGCTCAAGGCAGCAGCTAACAAAGAGACCGAACAAATGCGTCGTCAAGCCGAAGCTGAGATGAAGGAGGTGTTGGATTCCCAGACTCGCACCACGAAAGAAAGAGAAAAGTTGAAGCAGAAGCTCGATGCAGAAGCAGATCGTGCAGCGCACTCGGAGAAGCAGCGCCTCACTCTTGAAAAGAAGTTGCAGTCAATGCAGGAAAAGCTCATGCAGGGTGGTAAGCTCCTAGACAAGGCGGCGAAGCAGGAAGCCATGTTGCGTCGCGCTCAGCTCGAACTGGAGGAGCGGAAAGAGCAGGAGCAGGCTCTCGCACGTCAGGTTCGAGCCAAGGAGGAAGATATTTTTGCGCTCGAGGAGAAATATGCTACGAAGCAGGACGAAGCCGATGACAAAACCCGAAAGCTCAAGAAGCTCTGGCAGCGGCTTCAGACGTGCCAGGGCGAAACGCATGATGTGCAGGAGGAGTTTCAGCGCGAACGTGAGGACATGCTGGACACAATTCGCCAACTCTCCCGGCAGCTCAAGTTGAAAGAGCTACTGATGAACAACTTCGTGCCTCCTGAAGAAGAACGAAAGTTTGAGCGCCATGCAACTTGGAACGAAGAGGAGGATACTTGGGCAATCCGAGGGGTCGAATTTGCCGGCAACAGCCGAAAGCCGAAAGTCAGTGCCTCCTGGCGCCCTGGTTCAGCAATGGGCCGTGTGCGTGACCGCCCAGATGCAGATGAAAGTGCAGCAGGCAAAATTTCTTTGAATGGTATACCGAATCCATACCAGCACTATAATAACGACGATATGGAGAAACATCCTGCCAACGGGAACGATGGCGAAGACAGGCCTCGATCGAAAACAAGACCCAAATCGGGACGCCCAACCCGGAGGCGCACCGTGGATGCTTAGGCGAGCGCTAATGACGCATTTCCTTCAGTCACAATGCGACTGCCTAACTCGTATGCTGGATGGAATCAGAAGGTTGACCAGAGGACAACCGCCCGCCCCTCAGGGGGCACAGGACAGCCGCCCGTCCCCCCAGGGGGGAGCGCGAGTCTGCTCTGTGACATGCCGCGTGCGTCGGAGCTCTTACGTACGCCCTAGGGGCCTTTGAAGGTTTAGCTCGCCGGTGTGTTAAGGCAATGCCCGGTGTCAAGGGCCCTCCGGGATTGGAGGCCCCTCCAACAAATACTGAGCAGATGACAAAACACACCCTCCCGCCTGACGGCAGCGGAGTCTAGCTCGGGCGATCGGCCTGGGCAGCATCGGGGCAGCCCAGCCCGCGGGAAATTCGACGCGTTCTAGTTTGGGGGCCGCCCGCCCCCCCGGCGCCCGAGTAAAGCCCCAAAGCCGCCGACCAAGATCAATTGTCGGGGGCGTTTCGGGTTCCCTGGGCTCATATGCAGAACTAACCCCTGGCGGAATAAACTTCACAATCTATGATGAACTTTGGGACATTGATGGCTCGGAGCGCACAGCTAATATTGATCTTGTCTTTCGGGCCCCACTTGACCTCGACAATCATATGTCCATCTCTCCTTCTTCTTGCGACTTGTATGGTGATAGACATCACAGCGGTCCGTTCATAACTTAAAAAAACTGCGTTGAAAAATAAAGTACCGCGTTTTTTACGTAAATTACGCGGGTTCCTGGGCCGCGTTTATTATGGCGTATATATACCGCGTTTTTTTGCGCGTGTTTTCCAACCAAGGGGGGGTAGTCTTTCGGCAAAACCCCGTCTTTAGCTGCTGCGGAGCCCGCAGTCATCTTACAGCGGTGCTAACCACTTCCTGGGGTGCGCATAGATGAGCGTTGCAGTCAAGCGCTGTACACTTTTTGGCGTCTTTGCACTTTTTGGCGTCTTTAGTTCAATACGGATCTGGTATTAGAGGGACATGTGGCTGGGACTAGCGAATTTAGGGCACGTCTCTTGGGCACTCACCAAAGGGGCCATGGGGCCTAGGGCGTGACCGAATGGCGCCCGCCTTCAGTGTGTCGTTCGAGGCTCTAAGAGCGGGGTATACTGCGTCATCCATGAGGGGCGTAATACAGCGTCGAAGCGAATTGTAGATCTTCGGGTAAAGCTGCTCCTCGCGCGAGAGGAGCTTCTTCACGCGGGCGCGTTCTTTTGGCTCCTCGAAGCACGCAGGACAGTTTTCGTTGATGATCGGCAACTGGGCTTCCATGGCGAAGCTCTTCATCATATGCTCACGAGCGTAAACGAGCGGCCGAATAACAGTAACACCGCGGTCCGCAATGTATTTGGAACGCATCGTTCGCAGTTGCCCGTTATGAAAGGCTCCCATGATGAAGGACTCAGCCAGATCGTCAAGATGCTGTGCCAGCGCGAGAATATTGTACCCTTCACGAGAAGCACAGGTATAGAGCGCGCCTCGCTTCATGCGCGCGCAATAGGAGCAGAGACTTGAGGGTTTGACGGTATTTGCATAGTCGATGATGTGATCTTTAAGATAAAAGTACCTGACACCGAGGGCCTTGACATATGGTATCAGAGGTGAAGGGTCAAAGCTAGAGGTCATTGGGTCAACAGTTGCACATGCTAATTCGAATCTAATTGGGGCACGTTTCTGCAAGTCAAGCAATATATGCAGTAATGATAAAGAGTCCTTACCACCAGAAAGGCCAAGAAGGACTTTATCACCTTCCTTAATCATGGTCCAGTCTCTAATAGCCTCGCCGACAACACGCATGAGCTTCTTTGGCGGTGCTATTGCCTTGACAAGGTTCGGAATTACGGGGGGTTGGCTTGGAGTAGGATGTTGACTAACTGTGTGTGTTATATCGATGTTTATCGTGTGGGGCTTGACCGCTCCGCGGAGGGCCTTCTTCCTCTCTTCTGGGCCGAGCCTCTTGGGTCCAAAGAGAACACCCTCAACTCTGAAGGGAATCTCATATTGCCCCAAGGGTGGTGGTCTGATTGGGCCTCGTGGATCACCCGCAGGATCCCAAGTGAATGTGTTACAGAGATCCATTTGAGACGCCGCGTTCTTTGCCGTGACAAACCACCTCAAAGGTTCAAACTCGTCGTCATCGCAAATTATCTTCTCATTGCTACACAGCTTCAGAATACGCTCACCTTCCCGGAGTAAAAATTCAAAATCTGGCTTACCACGGCGATTGGTCGGTAGGACAGGAGTGAGCGGAGATTGGCTCACATCGAACCTACTTAGCCAACGTCGAGCGTCACCGAGTGGCTTCGAGAACCTGGCCCGGTGCCGCCACTCGCCCGTCTTGGGCTCGGCTCTGTAGATGGGCAATGCCCGCCAGCCCATATCGACAACAATAGCGACTGCTCTCAGTACGTAATCAATCTCTTCCTCGCTGGCCCAAGCACCGCCACCTGGCAGGCTAATCCTACTAAACCCGGGCCTTAATAGCTCACGATCAGGTGTCTTGGTTAGTAAAGCCGTTTGTAGGGCATCTGACGCACCCTTGGATAATCCAAGAAGTTCGTGAGCATAAGGACCTGCGCACTGGCAGCCACCGCGACTCTGGACTCCAAAGAGATCATTCAGTAGCTGACAAACAAAATTGTAATGCAGCCAACCAGGGCCGGCGCGAACCAAGAAGCTCAAAATTGGCACCGCGGAAGTTGCGACTGTCGTATGGCCAAGAACGACGAGACTCTTGGGATTTTTTACCAAACTATAAAGCTTCTTGATTGAAGTGCCGCGATCCCAAGGCACCTTTTGATTAAAATACAACTTTTGTTCGCAGTCTATGGCCCGTGCAATCGAGATGCAAAGCGCTGCACGACAAGCTCCAACTATGTCGGGCGTCCCTCCCTGCTCACGCTCAACACGATTCGAAAGAAATCTGTGCCCATCTTCGGTTGCAAAAAAAACTGTACCCCCCCCGGGTCGACTCGGAGATCGATCTCTTCTTATCAGTTCCTTTCGCACTACAAGAATTCCTGGAGCACTAATGCCGCCCAAGAGTTTGTGGCACGAAAAGTAGAGTGCGTCTGCAGAGGCACCTTCGTGGTGCATCGATGGGGATCCGTGTGCAGCTGCGGTCGCATAGTCCCAACAACTTAAAGCACCATGTTTCTTGAGCAGATGCGTGACCGAACTTACATTCGTCTTTGCACCTGTCACGTTTGACACCGCACAAAATGCGCCGATGACGAGACGATCTCTAACGCCCGGTCTAGTCAGGCGAATTTCCAAATCATCGAGGTCCAAGCCGTCGTCTCTGTTCCCGAGAACGGTCTCTACTGTTGCACCTGCCTCACGCCATGGCAAGAGGTTGCTGTGGTGCTCGTATGGTCCGACAAGCACGAGCACATCACGAGCTTCGCGCACGCCAAGAATTGACACAAGTTGATTGACCGCGGAAGTAGTTCCCGCTCCACAAAATAAGACAACATCAGACGCCGCCTTGCCTGTTGTTCTAGCGTTGCAAAATTCACCTACTACTTGTCGTGCTTCGGCCACGAACGAAGAACTCTGTGCCCCACATGCTGATGCGGCCGTGTGCGTGTTCCCATACAGAGGTAAAACCTGATTACTCAAAAAGAGCTCTACATGTCGTAAAGCGCGAGCTGATGCCGTCCAATCAGCATATACGAGTGGTTTGCACCCGAACGGTGTATTCAATGGTTCGAAACGACCGATCTGCTCCGCAAGGACGGTTTCGGCCACTGACCCACCAAGCGTCGCTGTCTTAAAAACTTCATCAACTGTGTTTAACGCAAAATAGCGAGCGCCGATTTCCTCGTCCAGATTTGATGACATGACTCGGTCGTCGCACTTCAAACTTCGAACGATGATTTGTTAAGGCGTTTCCCTCCGCTCGGCCGTCGGGCCAAGATATGTGGAGGGGGGCGCAAGAGGTAGCGGCACCAAAGAACAACCTAGCAAGGAAAAACCAGCATCTCGCGGAATTTTGATCGATGTCCACTACGCAATTACAGCTACGACTGTATTCCTCCACTTGCCTTCGTATCTCCCAACCTCTCCCACTAGCCTGAGTGAGCTACTGTGCTCCGCTCCAGGACCCTACCGCAGGCTAAGCAGAACACGGGTCGCTTGGGCCCGTTGGCTCCGAAGCGAGCTGGGTTCATCGCGTACAGCTAGACAAAACTCAAGGATTATTTCCTGACTCTTCCTCAACTTACCCTCAAGTTCTACTTCAACCTACCCTCAAGGTCTACCTTCCTCTAGGACCATAGGCTCAGCCTACTGAGCCTACTGCCACCCTGACTGACCTTCCCCACTGAGGAGGCTCTCCTCCCTTTTCTCTTGGAGGCTCTCCTCCCTTCTCTCTTTCCTTTCCTATCCCAAAGTACTGAGATCCTCCCTCCCTGGCGCTAACGCCAGTAGGTCAGTCCACGTAACTCTCGCAGCTGCCCCTGCGAGGGTTATGGGCCCACAGGTCGTATAACTCCAGCGAGAGTTACGGATCTGGCTCCTTGGCTCAACCACTCGACTCGCGCATTTTAGCAGCTGAGTCCCTCGAGTAAACCTCGAGTGTGGTCGAGTGTTCTTTCCACCGTTTATGGTAAAAGAACAACAAGTCGAGCAGGACTGACATTTCAATTGATAGGCGGACCCCTCAGACAGTGTGCGAAACGAATAATATAAACGAATTGTCCCACGGCCGTTGGGGGGAAGTGTCACCGCACATTGAAGATATATCATCCGATTCCCGACCCGAACCAACGACCCCAACCTCTCAAAACGCCTCAGGTGATATGTTTAGCGCGCTAACTTGACAGCGCGGCCTGGCCGGGGCCATAAGTCACCAATTTTGCCTCAATTTGCGTTCCGGCGTGACCCCCGCGCGCGCGGTGGACGGAGGACCTCTATGAGGACCTCCCGCCGGGCGACCGCGAAACAATATTTAATATTTCTATGGCCGCGGCTAGCCCTATGGTCGTTTCGCACACTGAGGGCAGACCAGAGAAAAACATTACGTATTTCTACCGTTAACCGAAATCGAAGTATGGCTGATGGAGCGCCGCCCAGGCCGACAGATGCACCGGTGGGCTGTGCCCTGCGGGCCGTGGGCCGTGCCGATTTTGGCCGGGGCAAAAAAAAACGCCGCCGGCGTCGGGAAGGGATTAAAGCGGCGCGTACTTGCGCGACCATTGGCGGTATAGGCGCACCGCAGGAGCATTAGGATTTAAATAGTACTCCCAGGAAAACCGAAGCCGAGCGCCTCCAAAGTACTGGACTTCTCGAGCAGGTAAACCTCGCTCTAGTCCTGAGGAGCACTCGCCATCGAATGTACCGGGAAAGTCGCTAACAAAGCTAGCCGAGCTCAGCGGCAACTAAAAAGGGCCTCGGACCATGCATAGATTCGTTCTCCTCATGGCGGCAGGGCAGCACCACCAGGCTGCTTCCACGTCCCGGAGTTTACTATCTCGCTATTATGACCAAATCCCCGACTGTGGCTATGGTTTGGCTACATTGCGGCAGGAAGTTGGAGCCGCCGGACTACCTCGCTCTCCAGCGCCCCTGGGATATGGCAAAGGCACTTCCGACGGTGCGGCGGAGCTTGTAGGCCGCAGAAGCGGGTGGCGGGGCGGCGAGATTAGCGCGACTCGCGACGGCTAGAGGGGCATCTGTTATAAAAAAGTCCTGGAGTATATGCTCTCGAGCAGCAAAGCGGCAGCGCGCCGAATTATCTTTGCGTCTGTCGTTATCTAGCTTGGAGATGCACTCTTGATCGAGCCGGGCCATTTGATGCCCCCACTTAAACATGAATCGGCGTTTACACCAGCCTTGTATAGTCCGGGTTGCCTTCGTCCGCCGCAGAAGCTCGACTTGCCCGATGGAGCTCATCTTAAAGGTGTCTAGCATGATGGCAGATTGTGAAACACGATGTGTATAGGACTGGGCAAGACATGCCAATTTATTTTGTTTCGCCACGTTAGTCTTCCGTGGATCTGTGCATGGCTGGGAGTGTTGCCAAGACTCATGGCATTCTGCATCGGCGTTAATTGGTTCCGAGGGTAATATCGTCGTTGGAGAAAGGAGCAAAACTCTTTTCAGCGCAGGTGACTGCGTTTGATGCTGGGTGCTAGTAGCATGAGGTCCGCTCCAGTCCTTGTGCGGGTGTGTTCTGTATTTCTCTGCCATGTGGGCTTCAAGTGAACCTCGTTCATTCAGGGTACGTGCTAAGATTGCCTGCTCATTGGCCTTTGCGTCGAGGCGCTGCTCAAGACGCATGCGCATGAGAGCTGGAACTTGCTGGAGCGCACGGTCTTTGGACTTAGTCAGCTGGATTGTCGCCTGCATTGCGCTCACCATTCTTTTTCTCTCATCTAGTGAACTTTGGGGAAGCGTCACTATGCGTAGTGTAAAACTATACTCCTTGTCGAATATATCAGTCAATGAGCTTGCGATTGGCTGTGTACTCTCGCGTGATCGCGCTCCTAGGCCACTCTTGAAAACAACAGAGACAGTGTCGTCCACAATTGAACTGAGCTCATGGCCATTGGAAACTTGTCTGAAGCTATTCAGCTTCTCAGTACCTTCCGGTTTACCAGCGACATCGGTGCGGGGTACGCGTAACTCACAGCAATCTTTTTTTCTTGAGGATACATATAGTTCCTCCTGCTGGAGTACAATGTCATCTTCGTGCATGATATGGGTGCCAATTGTCGCGTGGGGATGTTTTCGATGAAGAATGACCCATCGAGCACTTGCACGCGCTCCAACTGCGCTTGCCCCCCCACACGGCACCGCGACAAGACGGCCAACGGTCTCGCGAATGCGGCCACCTACAGGCTGGGTAATCGGACCTTGGGCAAGAGTCTCAGCTGCACGTCGTGCTATGCGACGCTCTCTAGCGAAGGAAGACGAGTATGCCTCCCAATCCGGGCCGGTCTGTTGCTCTCCACCATGGTTGGGTGCACCTCTGCTTGCCTCAGCAATGTCACCAACGATGGCATTCCACTCAGCACCGACATCGTGAGGCATAGCTGATGTACCAAGCAGCTCGTAGCGGGAGCACTGGAGCCATACTTGGTCTCCATATCTTATCGCCCCAACATCTCCTAAGTCCATCATGTTCCATAAAGTAAGAAGGCACGGTGGTGTAGGCCGTATGGCAACTGCATCAACCCGGCCGTGCTGGTTAAGGCCCATATATCCACCATGATTTGCCTGCAAGGCGATTGCGGACCCATAGTACACGACAGCGCCCTTAGGATGATTCAGTGGTGGCGTCTGTGGACTATTTTGCGGGATAGTTGCCGAAACAAGGTGCTTTGAAATCGCAAGTGCCATCTCATTCTTAGCCTCGAGCATCTTGTGGTGGCTCGTCGCGAGTGCCGGCGCCATCGGTTCTTGTGTGCGACATGCATCGGCTACTCCGAGGGCCAGGGCCGATGCCGATGTCTTCAGTGATGTCAGTGCATCTTCATGCAACTGATGGCCCCGGAGATGTTTGTTGAGGCGCTCCTCCATAAAGTTCTGTCGCCCCTGCCGCATCTTTCTCGCTATCTTGCGGATTGCAGGTGAGAAAAGCGCGTGCATCATCAGGCTTCGCCCCCCGATGGCCTGATTTGCCTCGCGGCCAAAGATGGGTCCGCCGTTTATGGCCTCTAACTCCGCGCGACTCTCGTGCGACGTATCCAGCAGTGGCTGCCCCCAACGTAATTTCTGCAAATGTTTCTGCGAGGACTTCACGAGGTGCTTGATTTCCAGCTCCGACATCTTCGCCGGTAATATTAGAGAGGTTCAGTGTTCCCTTGCTTATTCTTTGGCTGTCCTGTCATAAGCCGGGGACCCTGGCCATAGTGATTGGCGCCGTTTGGGATGCACGGGTACCGAGGAAATCGCAAGGGCCCTGAAGGCCGATAGCGACCTTCACTCTCATATTTGATCACCAGCCATTTCCGTCCACTTGGCCGTTCGTATCTCCCACTAGCCTGAGCTAAAGGAAGCAAGTAAAATCCTCCCTCAAAGGGAGGTTGAGCTCAGTTTCAATTAAAGATGCCAGAATGAAGGCCGACGGACCGTGCTTGGATGGCGCAGCCACCTCAGCGGGGATGGAGGAGGGTAGGGCAGGGCGGGTGCTTCATTTGTGCCGAAGGAGGGTGGTGGGCGGGCCAAAAATATAAGCCGCGCCACCCCGGACCCCGGGGACTCGGAAGCGGCGAGCTGGGAGAGGACCACCACAACCAGCAGTTTTATTTAGCTGGATGATGATAGGTATGTCGGTATGGATCGGCGCAGCCGACTTTGGCTATGCTCATGCTATACTATGCTGGTGCTTCATACTAGCATACTCGGATTCTAACATGATGTACGGGACTTAGATTCCGACGGCTTTACAAACTGCGGGATCCCTATTGTTTTGGGTTTAGTGGCCTATTTTTCTGGGTTTAGTGCCGGGAACTGCGCTTCTGGGTTTAGTGACCTGGAAACTGCGTTTCTGGGTTTTAGAGTGCGTTTTTGAGTTTACAACAACAAGGTGGGATTTTGGGTTTTGGGGCCCCGGAAGTGTGCGCGCGCGCGCGCGCGCCGCGTCATCAGTCCATCTGCGACAGGGCCTCGCCGCCCTTGGCCTTTTTGGGCCGGCCGCGCTTGCGCACGTCGCCGATGCGGTCGATGCGGTAGATCGCGGGGACGGTCATTTCGCCTTGGGAGATCGCCCATGCCAACGAGTGCTTGCACTTGCCGTAGTGCCAGAAGTTGTGGCAGCTGCACTGCCAGCGGACGCCCGCGAAGGGCTTCGCCTCCGTCGGCGTCAGCGGCGCGAGGTGGTAGGCCTTCTTCATGACGCCGCGGAGGGAGTCGAAGTCGTCGAGGCCGTCGAGCTCGCGGTTCGGCGGCGGGGCGCTCCGCCCCCGCCGCGGCGGGCGGCGCGGCCGGGGCCGCGAGCGTGTGCCAGAGTTGGGTCGCGGCGTTGTAGCGCTCGAGCCGCACGTCGCCCGCGCCGGGCGGCGGCGCCTCGGCCGCCGCCTCGCGCGCGGCCGCGGCCTCGGCGTGGAAGCGCGGGGGCTCGTGCTCGGCGGCGGCCTCGGCCGCGAGCGTCGCGATCCCCGCCATACCACGGCGTTGCTGTCGCCGCTCAGCGGAGCCGTGTTTGAATATCCTAAACCCAAAAAGTCATCGTGACCGATCACTAAACCCAGGAGGTCCGTTCGCCGGTCACTAAACCCAGAAACGCAGTTCCCGGCACTAAACCCAGAAAAATAGGCCACTAATCCCAGAAAAATATTTTCTCCAAACTGCGGCGTTCAACAAAACACTAAGTTAGCAGGCTCAGCGCAATTACATTAAATGTGGGGCGAGCATTGAGCTCACATCCCGCCCTAGGTAGCTCGCTAGGCAGCTTTACTCCCTGGTTCCGGCGCGCTTTGAGGCCAATGCGTCAAAGCGGCCTGTGTCCACCTTAGCATGCGGGGGGGTCCTGGAGCGGAGTACGGTCAATGCGGCGCTCAGGTCGGCAGTGGGCGAAATAGTCCCGGGCAAGCGCGAATTCAGTTCCGTTGGAATTCTCTTGTCCAACTAAGCTGGGCCCTCGCCGGTTGCCCCCCATCGCCATCCACGAGCTGCTCCGACGCGGACTAAGCTGGTCGCTTCCGACCTGTGGTTTCCCCCAACATATTCGCTGTGGCCGAGGCCCAAACCTTTCCAAACTCATAAGCATCAATTGCTTTTTCGGAGCGAAGCGCAAAGGCGAAGCGCTGAAGAAACTTGGCTCCAAACCCCTTTCATATCCTAGGAATGGTCCGCGCGGGGCGCTCACAACAGCCTTGCGCGGCAGCATTTGGCGAGGCCAATACTCAAGGGCGCCAAAATCCCTCGCCATGTCGAACTTCCCGGGGGCGACACCAAGAGATGCAGATCCGCTTATTGGTCGCATAAGGATGTCTGGTCGCCCCAAACTTTCGTGCAAATGCACCGGAAGCCACGAATTGGCTTTGCGAAACTTGCTCAAGGGGGACTTGGAGAGGGCTCTTCTTTCTCACCTGCGGCCTCCACCACGGCGCCTCTCCTCTTCGCGATTACGCTTGGAAGGCGGACGGTCATTGCTACTTTGAGCGGTAACGGAACGATTACGTTTTGGCTCTAGACTTGTGTCATCGTTGCGTGTGCGCTTTGGATGCTGATCCAATCGCTGCGTGGAGGACTTCGGCTTTGTAAACCCTGAAGGCGACGGGGGGGGCTTGGTGCTTGGCAGAGGGCTTTCGGCGTACTTTTTGCGGTCGCTGACACGTTCAGCTGCGCGCCCATGCACGTGCGTGAGAGTGTCGATTCGGTTGCGGTGAGGCACTGAGGTTGAGACATCAAGTTCATCTCGATTGCTGCGAACACCCCGTGAGCCCGCATTTCTTGTAGTTTTGGAATCAGTCATGGTAGTAGCACGGATAGAGCGGCTTTGCACACCTTGGAGATTCGTCTGACCTACCGCGCTTGGGTTAGATCGCATCAAGACATCGGGCAATGCTTCAGTGCTGCCGCATGTAAGAGATAAAGTATGCTCCTTAGCATACGATTCCTTCTGGATGCTTGAGCTTCTAGCGCCTCGGTTGCCCGAAGGAGCGAGCATTGATGAGTCCATGTCATATTTGAGTGGAATCAGCGATGACGGAGTTGAAGCAGCTGCTTCTGTAGGTCCGGTCTGACTGGGGTCCGAGACAGCCGAGCTGGACTTGTTCCTGTCGGGGGAGGCTTGTTTTGTGGCAGTCGAATCAGCTTGGCGTTTGCTAGGAACATTAACATTTTGGGATTTGGGGTTGGGCACGTCACGCTTGCTAACAACATCATCAAATAAAGAATCTTTCCGTTTCTTGAGGAGTGTGTGGTAGCGCTGGGCCATGGCTTGGACATCTTTCATATCTTCTTGCTTCCTGATGATGTCTAGCTTGTCCATCAAAAGGGCATTCACACGTTTGCGGGCAGGGTAAACGCCGTCAAGTTTGATGAGGACAAGAAGACAGGCTCGACCATGATCCTCATACTGGTCGAGACAATGAAGGGCAATCTTGGTGATCTTGTCATACCATTTAAAAAACACCGTACAGTACTGTTCGTACGAGCAGCGCGCAGGAGAGCCGATAGCAACAGAGAAGCCCGGCTTTGAGGCTGCTTCCTTCTCATAGAGGTGTTTATCAAAGCGCCAGCGCTTTAATGGCTCAAAGGTTGCCTTGAGGAATATGCCAAGACAGCCGGCCTCATGATCTGTTGCACAATACACAACAGGAAAGACATCTTTGACGACTCTATCATAGTACTGGAGGCTGCTGAAATTGGGCGTCTCTATCGTGTGGAGCTTATGAAAAAAGCTTGCACAGAAGAGAGAATCTTCTGGTGTAATAGTGATACGTGGCATTACACAATGTTGTAGCACAGACTCTGAGATGGAGCGACGTTGGTCTTCGGCCTGTGACGTGCAAAAGCTGATGCCTAGCAACCGTAAGAATTGCCTCTCAAATATGAAGTTGCTTTCTCGAAATGCTTCTCGGATTTAAATGACCACCGAAAAACTCCCCCTCAATTTTGAAGTTGTTTTGCCCGAATGTATGAAGATGCTTCTCTGGTCAAAACAACCGAACCGAGGAGCGTGTCACGTTTAGACTGGAGTTCGCTAAGAACCTGCTTGCAGTGATCTTTTTGTGCAGCCAGCTCTGATGAAAGTGCTTCAACTGTTCCGAGATAACGTGCCATTTCCTTCTTGCGCTTCTCTGGTTCCTCAACTTCACGCTGTGTATTATTATATTTTGCCCGAAGGAGAGTGATTTGCGCGTCATAGGCCTTGGTAGGTACTTTTATGTCGTAAAGGGATAGCGACCAAAATGTTAGGTAGAACTGAATCGTAATTGCTTCCCAGTCGTGTGCCGGCGATACAGCAAGCATGGCAGCATTCATTGTTTCGTCGTCTGGGTCCCACCTCCTGAGATGACCACCATCTGGTCCGCGCGCGATCTTTGCTGTTATATCGAGCTGATTCTTCGCGGCATTTCGTCGGGCTGCTGCTGCTGCAGCCATCAACGGCCGTGCGGCATGAAAAGCGACCTGCGGCTCGACGCACATCGCCTAGAGAAAGGAAACATGTTTGATCAACACAAAGTAATTGATGTATGAATAGGGGACGGAGAACAGACCGAAATCTACACTCGGGACAGTACACCACAGAGAGTCTGTAGGTCGGGCAAAAGCTCAAGGTATGAGTGCTTTTCTTGGGTACCGAGGTTGGTCGGACGCTCAGTTGAGCGCGCGAGAAACTCAACTAGCTGAACCAAAACCCGCTGGCATCGGTCAAAGAGCTGCCCGAGCTGTTTAACATGATCCATTTCTCCCTTGAATAGCGCATACCCGCGCTGCCTAATATCACATCATCGGTGATGATCAAACGATGGAACGACACAGAGCGTGACTGGGCGACTAAAGCAAGCATTGGTGCAGCCTTGTCTGGTGTGCACAAAGCATCTTGCAGACGTGAAATAGCACGTTTGGATGCTTTCTCGAAAGCGAATATTTCACGACGGAGTACCTCGCCGCCCGCAAGACCGCCAAGCTGAGCGTCAGATATGTCTTCGAGCACTTCGCAACCACCCATGCGCGCCAGAAGTTCATTGAAGACAAGTAGCTCGTGAGAGCCACCTGCCTTGAGGCGAAGCAGAAGAAAATCGATGAGACACCGAAGCTCAGTTTGTGGGTAAACGCGATAAAATACACCGGTAAAATTAGCGAGATACTGAAACCAATGAGAAATATGGATACCATTATCCTGTAATTTATGACGGGACGTATCTGCAAGGTGAAGTGGAAGCATATATGAGAGGACGTCCAGCGCCAGGGGCGTCATGAAGCCGAAGGACTCTATGATTGGCTGAATCATATTATCATAGGATTCTATCTGTGAGAGGATGATATGGAAGACAACAAAAGGATTCGAGTGAGCTGTTTTTGCCAACGCACGTCCCACATGTTTGGCATTTTTTTTTTCATTTGCAACACGCTTCAGCGCCTGTCTCGCGTCATGGCCCGCCTCGCACTCAGCTCGCGCGACCTCAAAGTGTTTCAAGCCGATCGCAGTGCGATCAACACCGCGACCACGCCAAGCTTTGTAAAGTAAATGGCGCTCGCAGTACGGAAGACACCTCGTCGCTGCCCATACCTCGAGCACGCAGCCAGGGTTGCCCGGCATAAGTGATAGTGTGGGTAGCAAGACGTGCTCTAGAAGCCGTCTTGCGACCAATGATTCGTCAGTTCCACGCCAGCACGGCTGGAGCAAGTGCTTGAGGACACGTGCAAGCTTGGTCACGAGTGACGCGTCAAATGCTGTGTAGACGTGAAGGTGATAGCAAAGCGGCTCCAGGACCAAGAGAAGCTGCGGCAACAATGCTATATCTGATTGTTCAAGTCGCCGCGTGTATCGTGGATTCACGGCTTTGACTAAATCAGAACTTCGAATCGCTCCTGACCAGCGCGATGCAACACCAAACGACCGTGGAGAAAACACGATGTATACAGGTTCTAGCACAAAATGTGCTAGGCTATAGAGCGCTTGCTGACATCCGGGATAGCTACCAGGAAGCGCACCTCCTCGCTCCATGCGTGAAAGAAGGGGTTCAGCAAGATGCCAACGTTGATCCCACAAGAGGGCTTCCACGATACCAAAAATCTGAGTCGATACGTCGTTTGAATCTTCATGTACCTTCGATGCAGCATGAATTCTGCTGCGCTGCATGCCCAGATCAGATTTTTCTCCAGAGCCACCAAGCGAGATGACACCAAAGCAGCCTGCTTCTTTGTCTGTCTGTTCACCAAACTGTTTCGCATCATCTGCAAGGGTTCCCAATGATGGGGCAAGATGCGGCAGGAGCGCTTCAATGCTTATCACATTCGCACTAAGAAGCATAACTGCAAGACGACAAAGAGATCGTGGCGTGGCCGATTGTTTGTGATAGTGCTGAAATTTGAAACCCAGAATGTGTGGAAATGATTCATTCAGCGAGAGTTGCTGAGCAAGGTTGAGATGGGCCTCAATAACTTCAGAGGAGCTGCCGCAGTCGCGCTCGAGAGACTCAAGCACTATGTCCAAAACGCGATTTGGGTCTAGATCGAAGCCTCCAATAAGAGCTCGAAGTGTCTGTGCGGCCCCCATCAAAGATGTGCCCCTCCGGAGCCGTGAAAGCCTATGCGCAAAAAATATCTTGCACGCTACCTGATAAACTGATGGCACACGTGAAGGCCGTTTAAAAAACATGAAATGCGCTGGCGCTAGCATTGTCGTAACCTATGGCGGTCTTCATCTAGTGAAGTCGCGCGAACCCTTCCCGAACTCAAATCCAAGGCACGGGGCGTAACCTTTGAGTATCCTTCGCTCTCTTCGTGCAACAAATTATACTTGCGTTGCCTGTATACTAGATCCGTGTTCAATTTTTTCATCCGCTTCACGAAAGTAACCGTGTTTATCAGACCCGCCAATCCCAAAAGTTCCTCGTCGAGGAGCCTTATAAAAGTCATCGGCCTAATTAAATTGATTAGGGGGCTCCAAGTCCTGCAACACGGCGGAGGTACGGAATTACACAAGCTAATTCGAGCTCCTGTACCAGCGCTGCTAGGTAACGCCGTGCTGACTCGATCTTAAGTGATCCGATTTGCACCTGCGCGGTT